GTGCCTGCTATTAAAAGCCTAGATTGCCTTGAAGAAGCTGTTGGTAGAATTACAGATGTCAAAGCTGATGCTGATGAAGACTTGGAAGGAGGTGAGGAGAGCAATAGAGAAAGTCTGTTTGTCTTAGAGAATACATATGGCACCAGCAACAGAATGTTGCTAAATGTGGATGTTAAATGTGTTTTGTGTTGAAGGTTTAAAAGAAAAATGATGAGTATATGATTGGACAATGGAACTTTTTATACAATGCTTTTTATACAATGGCAAAGAACTTACTGAATTATGTTCAAATATTTGGTGGAAGGTAGAACTTTCAAGTGATGAACTTTGATATCTGACTAAGGAGATTTCTAAACAAGATCTTAAAAGGGGCACATGGTTTCTTCTTGCTGCTTATAGTAAAATGTGAAAGGAAAGAGACACTTAAAAATGAATTATGCAAAATGAAAATAAAACTTAGATTTGGAAAATTCTGTTTACAAACTAAGGACACATGCCCTAGAATTTTCACCAAGGATGTGGCTACATAATCTTCTGTTAAAGAGATTAAGCCTGTGACAGATGGATCTAATCAACTACCACAGCAGAAAAACCATCAGTCTTGGAATTCTACAGGCAGGAAACAGGCATCTGTACATCTGTTGTTCTCCAAGAAAAGAAAAGAACCATCCATGGAGCAGCTTGTTGTTGTTGTTGTTGTTACGTGCCATCGAGTCAGACCCAACTCATAGCGACCTCCTCTTGGTTTCCAAGGCAGTATCACTGTTGTTGTTGTTGTTATTTGCCGTCGAGTCGGCCCCGACTCATAGCGACCCCTCCTTGGGTTTCCAAGGCAGTATCACTACGGAAGTAGGATTGCCCAACCCCTGGCAGTATCATTATGGAAGTAGATTTCCCAACCTTCCTTCCCAACCCCCGGCAGTATCACTATGGAAGTAGATTTCCCAACCTTCCTTCCAAGGAGTGGCTGGTGGGTTTGAACCGCCAGCCTTCTGGTTAGCAGTCAAGTGCCTTAGGCACTATGCTACCAGAGCTCCCATGGAGTAGCTTGGAGCTCAGCAAAACTATTGAAAGAAGTGTGGGAAGTAGAGCTGCCTCAGCCTCAAAGGGTAGAGCCATATCCTCTGAGATCTCAAAGGGTGGGACCCTGGGGTCTTTGCTTTCAAAGAGATATTCACCAATTTAGGTCTGGAGTGTGAGGCTGCCATTTAATTTGGTCAAGAGGATGGGCCTGCTGCCCAAAGCTAAGTGGACAGGGCTGCTAGCTCAAGGGGCAGAAGAATGGGGCCTACTGGGGCCAGAAGGATAGGGTTCCCACTCAGATGGACTAGGAGAATGGAGCCACCCAAAGCAAAGGGAGCAGAGTTGCCATCCCAGTGAATCTAGAAGGTAGAGCTGAAGCCCAGGGCTGAGGGGCCTCCACTCAGAATACGGAGAGCATGGAGGGCAGGACCATTGGCTAGATAGTTTCAGAGAACAGATTATTTTCGAGCCTTGAGAGCTAATATAATGTCTTCTACTGGGTTTTGTACTTGCTTGGTGCCAGTTATCCCTTCTTTCCATCCACTTTTCTCCCATTTCTAATGGAAATGTCTACTTTGTGCCTGTTCCACCCTTGTATTTTGGAAACAGGTAACTTGTAGTCTAGATTTCACAGGTTTGCACATGGAAAGGAATTTTGCCCTAGGATGGAATATACCTTAAGTCTCACCCCTGTTTGATTTAGATGATTTAGAAGATGAGATTTTGGAGTTAGAGTTGATTTAAGACTTTTGGGATGATGTGATAGAGTGAATGTGTTTTACTTATATGTGGCAAGGACATGATATTTTGGTCTCAGAAGTTGGAATGTATGGATTGAATTGTATCCCCAAAAATATGTGTTATAAATCCTAACCTCTATGCCTGTGGTTATAATCCCATTTGGAAATCATTTGTCTTTGTTATGTCAATGGGGCAGGATTAGTGTAGGATATATCTTGAGTCAGTCTCTTTTGAGATATATAAGAGCTTAAACACAAGCTAGCAAGCAGAGATGGGGATATTATATATATATTAAGGAGCTCTGGTAGCATAGAAAGAAATGCTAATTCACGTGAAGATTACCCAGGAGCAGAAGCTCAGAAGAGACAAGGAACTTTTTCCAGAGCCAACAGAGAGAGGAAGCCTTTGGCCAGAGTTGGTGCCCTGAATTCAGACTTTTTTAGTCTTCTAAACTGTGAGAAAATAAATTTCTGTTTGTTAAAGACACCCATTTGTGGTATTTCTGTTATAGCAGCACTAAATAACTAAGAAGTGTAAAAAAAAGAAAAAAATTAGTAATTTCTTTTGTAAGTCCTATTTAAAATCCACTCTCATAAAGGTCTTGTTGAATAAAGGTATTATTAACTCTAGAAAAAAGTTACTGCACCTAATATGACAGATTCCATACATGCATAAAATATATTTTTTTATACATATTCTTGTATAAGCCTCATATGAACTTTGTGAAGTAGGTGGAATATCTTTATTTTAAAGATGAGAACACAGAAGCTAAGAGAGTTTCATGTGGCTAAAATACATAGGGGGATTCATATTCAGGTTTGTGATTGCAACCCTATAGTTTTTCTGGTGGCCTCCTTCTTCATTTTTTGGATGTTTTTCCCACCTGCAAACTCAGTTGAAATGCATGTGGTTTGGAAGCTGCTCCAGAAATTGATTATAAACTCAGAAGGGGATTTTACTAATGAAATAAGGTTGATTTAATTAGTTTTAGAAACTTTAAAATGACTGGAACTTGCTTTGTAACTTGAAGATTTTTTCTTTCACTTTAGTTCACTTTCAACTTAACATTTTATTGTTATATCCAGCACATTTCAGAAATTAATTTTTATTTATAGTCCAGGTAGTACCAAATTTATGATTTGAGTTATGATGAACTACACTTATGACCATCTTTTTTTTAATGCATCTTTAATGTTATGTTGTTGTTGTTGTTATGTGCCGTCGAGTCGGCCCTGACTCATAGCGACCCCTCCTTGGGTTTCCGAGTCAGTATCACTACGGAAGTAGGATTGCCAAACCTTCCTCCCGAGGAGTGGCTGGTGGGTTTGAACCGCCAGCCGTCTGGTTAGCAGGCAAGTGACTTAGCCACTATGCTACCAGAGCTCCCAATGTTATGTACTACATACAATGTTAACCAAACAAAACCAAACTCATTGCCATTGAGTCGATTCTGACTCATAGTGATCCCCTTTGGGTTTCTGAAGCAGTAAATCATTATGGAAGTAGATTACCCAGTCTTCCTTCTGCAGAGTGGCTGGTGGGTTTGAACTCCCAACCTTCTGGTTAGCAGTCAAATGCTACCAGTGTTTAATTTGCTGATGTTATTCTCAGGCTGTTCACTTGCAGATGTTTAATGTTATGAGTTACTGTTTAAAACACTGCTGGCTATGGCAATAATAATGAAAACTTTTTTAAAAAAATGAGATATTCAGCTTACATCAGAACTGATAGATGTCAGAATGGAACCCTGTCATAAGTTGGGGACTGCCTGCAGTAATAACATAAACCAAACCAGTTGCCATTGAGTTGATTCTGACTCATGGTGATCCCAGTGTAATAGGTACCATTTATTGAATACTTTTTGTAGGCAGGGCAGTGTGTTCTCTATAATATGCTAGCCACTAACTACATTTAATTTAAAACAAAAACTTCAGTTCCTTAGCTGTGCTGGCCACACTTCAGTTGTCCATGTGTCTAGTGGCTCCCATATTTGACAGCAGGTACAGAACATTTTCATCATATCTGGAAGTTCTGTTGGACAGTGCTATGCACTTTACATATTGTTTCTAATTTATGACTATTTAAGGCCTCTTTTATTATTTATTATGAGAAACTCGGCTCAAAAGATAAATTGCCAAGTGTACATCTCTGGAGAGATAATGAAAAATGACTTCAATGGATTTATGTTACATTGGGGACATAGATAAGAACCAGAGGATATAGTTTGATAAACTAAGTCACAAAGCTTTATGAGCACATGTAGGAAAGGTGCTGTACTTAAAGAGTCAGATAGTCAGAGAAGGATTCTTGGAAGAAGTCCTGTTTGAACAGGTAAAAGTTTGTAATTAGATGGAGTACTTTCCGACGTTTAAACAATGTCTTAAATGAGGGAATAGGAGTTTCCCTGGTCAGTAGGAGGAATATTCTAGATGCAGGGAACAGCAGTAGTATGTGTAAAGACATTCAAGTGTAAATGAGTATAATTCATTGGGGAATTTCAAGTAAAGCAGCACTCAGCTGCTAACTGAAAAGTCTAAGTTTTGAACCCACCAGCCACTCCACAAGAGACAGATATGTGGGTGGCTGCCTGCTTCTGGAAAGATTGTTGTTGTTGTTGTTGTTATGTGCCATCGAGTCAGCCCTGACTCATAGCGACCCCTCCTTGGGTTTCCGAGGCAGTATCACTACGGAAGTAGGATTGCCCAACCTTCCTTCCGAGGAGTGGCTGGTGGGTTTGAACCGCCAGCCTTCTGGTTAGCAGTCAAGTGCCTTAGCCACTATGCTACCAGATTACAGCCTTGGAAACCCTATGGAGGCAGTCCTATAGAATTGCTGTGAGTCACCATCAACTTGATGGCAATGTTTTGTTTGTTTTTAATAGCTAGGTATGCTTGAGGGGGAGGGTGTGTGAGTTGAAATGTTGGGAATGAAGTTTGAAAGGTAGGGAGAAGCCAGATTCTAGAGTTTGATCTTTATGTTATAGGTAAATGCTTGCTTTATTTCACTATGATTTTATAGATTTTTTTTTTTAATTGTTAGAAAAAAGATACATAGTTCAAGCTGTGAGGTTTAAAGAAAAAAATTATACAAATTTTGATGAGACAGTATATATGCTACTGTATTTTTAACTGAATTGAATGTGAAATATGTTGTACTAAAAAACTTTAACTTGAAATAAAAATTTATGCTTATGTTGAAAATGACAAATAATACTCATATTTCTTTTGTACTTTTAGCAGACTGGAAGCTTTTCTAGCTGGTCTGGTAGTTTCCTTATGGATGATAGCATGTCTAATACTCTAAATAGCCTTGAGGAGCACACAAGTGAGTTTTACAGTATGGATGAGAATCAGACTGTGTCTGCTCAGCAGAATTCACCCACAAAGTTCCTGGCCATAGAGGCAAATGCTGTGCTGTCATCTCTACAGACTATTCCAGAATTCGCAGAGACTCTAGAACTTATTGAATCTGTAAGTTTGAAATTGTGAGATTATCAAAAGCTCAATTTTAGTTACATGATTTCATTCTCAGGAACTCCAGTTTAATGTACACCAACATTACTTTGTATGCCATGATTAATTTTGGTTCTGATGTTTTTCAGTGTGTGCTTTGTATAGATTTGTTTTCTTATATAGAATTTTAAAAATTTAATAATTAGTTTTTTAAAAAATTTGATTGTGGTAAAATACATATAACAGTCACAACCAATGTCACAGAACAATTTATGTCTGCACATAATCAGACAACTGATTTTCTGTGTTAGTTTTACGTAAAACCAGAAAACCAAATGCACTGCCACTAAGTTGGATCCAACTCAGAGCGACCCCCCTCCTTGGGTGTCCACAAGGCCGTATCACTACGGGAGTAGATTGCCCAGCCTTCCTTCCTTCCAAGGGGTGGCTGGTGGGACCAGCCTTCTGGTTAGCAGTCAAAGCGCAATAAAATGTTCAAAAAAAGTATAACAAAATATTTGCCATGTTAAGTGTACAATTCAGTGAAATTAGTTAAATTCACTGTTGTACAACCATTACAACTATTTCCAAAAGTTTTTCATTAATCCAAACAGAAGCTCAGTTATCCCTTAAGCTATTAGTCCCTGTTTTCCCTTCCCCAGCCTTATTAACCACTTTTGTTTTCTCCATGCATTTGCATATTCTAGGTATTTCATGTAAGTGGAATCATACAATATTGATCTTTTTTTTTGTTTAACTTATTTTACTCAGCATCATGTTTTTAAGGTTCACCTATGTTGTAGCATATATCAAAACTTCTTTTCTCTTTATGATTTAATAATATTTCATTGTATATATTTACCACATTTTATTAATCCATTCATTTGTTGATGAATACTTGGGTTGTTTCCACCTTTTGGCTGTTGTGAATAATGCTGCAATGAATATTGACATATTGTTTGCAGAAGTCCCTGCTTCCGGGTCTTTTGGATATATACCTGGGAATGGAATTGCTGGGTCATATGGTAATTCTGTTTAACATTTTGAGGAACTGCTAAATTGTTGCCCACAGTGGTTACACCATTTTTCATTCCTACCTGCAGTGCACAAGCATTCCACTTTCTCTGCATCCTCCCCAGTACTTATTTTCCATTTTTCTCCTAGTAGTCATCATAGTGGGTATGAAGTGTTATCTCATTGTGTTTTTTATTTAGTGCCTAAGGCATTTGACTGCTAACCAGAAGGCTGGCAGTTCAAACCCACCAACTACTCCTTGGAAGTAGTTGGGCAATCTACTTCCATAGTGGTACCACCTCGGAAGCCCAAGGGAGGGGTCATTATGAGTTGAAGTGACTCCACAGCAGCTAGTGAGAGTGATTAATGAAGGAGCTCTGGTGGTACAGTGCCTAAGGCAACAGAAAGTTGGTGGGTCAAGCCCACCAGCCACTCCATGGAAGGAAAACTGGGCAATCTACTTCTGTAATGATTTACTGCTTCTGAAACCCAATGGGGGTTGCTGTGAGTCAGAAGCAACTCAATGACAGTGGGTTTGGTCTGAGCGACTAATGATGTTAAGCACCTCTTCATGTGCTTATTGGCCATTTGTATAACTTCTTTGGAGAAATTTTTTTCCCCCCAAGTCTTTTACCTATTTTGTAACTGGGTTATGCTTTCGTTGAGTTGTAAGGGTACTTTCTTTATTAATGGATATTAAACCTTTATCTGATATGTACCAAATATTATTTGCACTCTGTAGGTTCTCTTGTCACTTTGTTGCTCAGTCTTTTGATGCTTAAACATTTTTGATTTTGATGAAGTCCCATTTATCTATTTTGTCATTTGGTACTAATGCCTTTGTTGTCATATCCAAGAATTCATTGGCAAAAACAACGTCTTGATGCTTTACCCCTATGTTTTCTTCTAAGATTTTCATGGGTTCTAATATTTAGGTCATTGATAATTTTGAGCTAATTTTTGTATGTGGTGTGAGATAGAGTTCTGATTTCAGTCTTTTGAATGTGGAGATCCAGTTGTCCCAGCACTATTTGTTGAAGAGACTATTCTTTCCCCATTGAATAGACCTGATATCCTTGTCAAAGATCAATTGGCCATAGATGTGGAAAATCAATTGGCTTATTCCTGGATTCTCAGTTCTGTTCCATTGGTCTATATGTCTATCCTTATATCAATACCAGGCTGTTTTGATTACTGTAGCTTTATGTTTTAAAATTGGGAAATGTGAGTCCTCCTACTTTATTCTTCTTTTCCAAGATTTGTTTGGGCTATTTGGAGACCCTTGCAGTTCCATATGAATTTCAGGATGCCTTTTCCATTTTTGCAAAAAGGCTGTTAGAATTTTGATAGGGATTGTGTTGAATTGGATAGGATTGGTTTGAATAGTATTGATATCTTAACAAATTAAGTCTTCCAATCCATGAACATGGGTTGTCTTCCTGTTTATTTAGGTCTTTAATTTCTTTCAGCAATATTTTCAGTGTACAAGTTTTTCATCTCCCTGGTTACATTTATTCCTAGGTACTGTATTTTAAAATATAGGAGCTCTGGTGGTGTTGTGGTTAAAGTGATGGGCTGCTAACCAAAAGGTTGGTGGTTTGAACCCCCCAGCTGCTCTGTGGGAGAAAGATGAGACAGTCTGCTTCCTTAAAGAATTTTAGCCTTGGAAACCCTATGGGGCAGTTCTACTCTGTCCTATAGGGTTGCTATGACTTGGAATTGGCTCAATGGCAGTGGATTTGGTTTATTTTTTAATTGTAATGAAACTGTTTTAATTTCTTTTTCAGCTTTTTCATTGCTGTTGTATAAAAAATATAACAGCTTTTTGTGTTTTGATATTATATCCTGCAACCTTGCTGCATCTGTTTATTAACTTCAGTAGCTGTCTTGTGGATTCCTTGGGATCTTCTATATATAGACCCGTGGCATCTGTAAATAGAGATAGTTTTGCTTCTACATTTTCATTTGGATGCCTTTATTTATTTATCTTCTTTAATTGCTCTGGCTAGAACCTCCAGTACAGTGTTGAATAGCATATACTGGAAGTGGTACAAGTGGGTATCTTCATCTTGTTCCTGATACTAGGGAGAAAGCTTTCTGTCTTTCCCTTTGGAATATGGTGTTAGCTGTGGTTTTCTTCATAAACGCCCTTTATAATGTTGGGGAATTTCCCTTCTATTCCTAGTTTTCTGAGTACCAACTAGGTTTTGTGTGTATGTGTGGTAAATGTATATGTAAGCAATTAGTTTTTATTATGCAAGCTGTACATTTAGAGATAGTTGAAAACTAGACAATATGTAAAGAAAATTAAAATTCCTCATAAGCCCAGAGTTAACAACTTTATGTATCTTTTCATATGGAAATTCATATTGTAGATACATAAAATGCACAAATTTGCATGTTCTTTAAGCCCAAAGTGGCATCATACCATATATACACTTAAGTATTACATTTGTGGGTTTTTTTTTTTTTTTTTTTGGTTTCTCCACATTATTTCATGAGATGTCTCTGTTAACTGTGTTTTAAACTTGATGTTTAATGGACTAATAATATTTCACCATATAAGTTTATAAATGTTCATTTATATACTCAGTGTACTAGCATTATTGGACATATAGGTGATACATAGTTTTTCAATATTATAATTAACAATATGCTTATATATAAAGTTTTGTGCAAAATTAGGATTATGTCCTTAGGTTAAATTGAATTTGTAGATCAAAGTATATGAATATTTTTTAACGTTTTTCCATACATATTACTAAGGAGCTCTGGTGACGCAATGCCTAAGGCATTTGACTGCTAACTAGAAGGTTGATAGTTCAAACCTACCAGCCACTTTGTGGAAGGAAGACTGGGCAATCTACTTTCATAAAGATTTACCATCTCAGAAACCCAGTGGGGATTATTTTGAGTATGAATTGACTCAGTGGCAGTGAGTTTTTTTTTTTTTTTTTTTTTTTGGTTTATGCACATTACCAAATGTAGATTTTGATAGTGTTTTTTTCTGCTGTGAAGTAGAATGTGATGTTTTATGGTGAGTTATATTTGATTTATTCTTTGATGTTGTTGTTGTTGTTGTTGTTATGTGCTGTCGAGTCAAACCCGACTCATAGCGACCCCTCCTTGGGTTTCCGAGGCAGTATCACTACAGAAGTAGGATTG